ACTTCGTAGAGGAAAACAAAATATAAGTAAATAGTCAAATTCAAATAAGTTGTAATTATTTAATATAACCCCGTTAATTTAGGATATAAGGTTTTCTCAATACTTGACAAAATATCTTTACGTCAGAATTGACAAATTTACTATAAAAGGTTGATGGATAATTAGATTATTATTAGTGAGAAAAACCGCTACTCACAAAAATTTAATTATTCACTAGTTTTTTATTATTATTGAAACAAACTTTAATTTTGTTCCGCAGAGCAACTAACTCAAATTTAAAATGATCTGTATTTTATGCCTGCTGGATCTTTTACCCTTAGTTCCAATATTCGTAATCCGATACCTCCGTATCTTAATAGTGTTAACATAAACATAGTCTGTGACTGTTTTGGAAGACAAATATTTCGTGCGTTTAAAAACCGGGTGTTTCGTAAAATAAAACTTATTAAATTTGTATAGAAAATAAAATCATTCTTACAAATGATTGTTTAGAGGTACCTATTTTTGAATCGGTGATACAGCTGTATGCTGTCCTTCATTTCTCATTACATTGATGCTGCATTGGAGGTATTTGTGGATTTGAGAAGAAACCTGAACGTTGTCTGGCTAGAACTAGCATCTAAATTTCCGTTTAGGAATCTCGACAGTCAATGTTTTCATAGCCCTTGCTCACGTCCGGCAAACGTGAAGATTTGGGTTCGACTCCCGCCAATGATAGGTTTTTTTTCAAATCTACAAATATTTGTTTTCACATTTGGGGTCTGGGCATGGTCTTAATAATTCGTAAGGGGCTTTTTGAGATTTGTTTCCGAATTTTCGAATTTATTTATTCGTATTCCTTATGCAATTATCTATTTTTAGTTTCTTAAAAAATAAATCAGAGGTAGCCGTTTCGCCTGTATCAGGATTCAGGATATTAAACCTTTTGCATGCTAAACTAGTTTATAATACCAGAGATTGTATTCCATGTGTTCACAAGCCGCTGGCTTTGGATTAAAAGATCGAAGATACAAAAATAAACATTTCAGTAAAAACTATTTTTATGTAACACAAACAAAACACTACATTTTTGGTTACATATTTACTGTATATACATTTCTTGCTCAGAAGATTTATTTGATCGCCATTGAAGCGTGGGTTAAAAACCCAATTGTCAATGTGACTTTGATAAAGGTTTGACGAATCTGATGCCGCGTTTGAATATCCACATCGGATGCATCTGAGATGTAGAAAAACTTTGATCACGTGATTCAGTATACGTAAATGTAGTGGGACACTGGGACAGATGTGTTCGATGTGGATAAACAAACGCTCGAGATGTAAAAAATGCATCGGATGTGGATTTTCAAACGCGGCATAAGTGATTACTACTACGTGCCGCGGTACAAAAACCGTAACGGCTCCCGCATTCATTTCGCGCATACATATTACCAACTGTATTTATTTTTACCATTGTATTTAGAGAAGATAGTAGAACAACCTTATGGACGTTTCATTGGAGGCAATTCTGTCGCGACATCTGTTAGAAATTCATCAAAATAGCTCGAACGCTAGCACTTCCTCGATCATTGAGTACAGAATTCTATATACATAAAAAATTCTTAATTTTTAAATTCATATGGGTAGAGTGCTAAATTTAAATTACTATTGTTTATATTCTCTAAAATGATAATAAATCGTAAATAAATGTTCAACAAGCATAATTAAACTCGTATATTCCATTTTGAAAACAAATATTCTGTATCGATTATGGGCCCATCTATTAATAAATAGAGAAATTACGTTCGTTTCGAAGACGACAAAATTATCAAAGACATGACTTGGACACCACGGAGCTTGCTGCCATCTATTGATACTGTCCCTTGTCCTCCAAGATAATTTGCATTGATATTGTTTTACTAGTTGATCTAAATCTTAGATAAAAGAGACCAGAGATATAACATACACCGGTGTTTAACCTGCGCAAATGTTGCCAATTTCTAAAGAAAGGTTAACGGAGTGGGGGAACTGGGCAGGGACTCGAACTCTGTGACAGGGACCGGACTTTGTTTATTAGCATCATAATGAACTATTAGATTTATTTAAAATATACGTTTAATGGAATTTTGTATTATGAAATCAATTTAACGTGATTTTTTAATATCAAACAGATGCCACGACATTTTATGTAAAGAGAAGACCTTTAATAGAATATTTCGTTAGCTATTATTTACTATGGACTTTTCTGTAAGAGACTACAGTAAAATGTTGAAATAGAATATTGTTAATCGATTAAGAAATAGTACTCATTGTCTAAGAGTATTATAAAAAAGCATGTGCGCAGGCGAATACTGCAAATCAAACCTTGTGAGTTGAACATTATATTTTTTCTACGACTATCACATAATATTAAAATTTAGTCAAAATGAGAAAATGCTGTTTTGTATTATAACCTCAGAAAAAGATATATTAAAGCTTGTTTCTTTAGGAATATTAATTAATATAGAGGATGCGTCACATAAAACTCTAGAAATGTATATGTCTGAAACCAGATAACATTTTAAAATTTAAACCTATTAAAAGTCATTTGGTCGCTAGGAGTGGGTGATTATCGAAATAAATTATTGATCATTAATAATAATCGATTATTTTCAATCAATCGATTATTTTCAATCAATCAATTATTTTCGAACAATCTATTTTTGTTCGTATTTCCTTTAAAATTGACTACTTGATTATATTTAAAAAATAAAAGAAAAATAAATTAATTAAAAAGCCAATTAACCGATAAATCAGTGTTTACAAAAAATAATAAACGAATTATCGTTTATTTTAAATAATCGATTATTTTTAATTTCTGTTTTTTTTCGTATTTCCATTGAAACATTATTCCATAATCTTTGAAAAATCTAAAATAATCGATTAATCAAAAATAATCGATTAATCAAAAATAATCGATTAATAAAAAATAATCGATTAATAAAAAATAATCGATTAATTAAAAAGTCGAATAATCGATAAATCGATTTTTCAAAAAAAAAAAAAAAAAAAAAAAAAAAAAAAAAAAAAAAAAAAAAAAAAAAAAAGATTTATTTCCTATAAAATCAATTATTCGATTATTTTTGAAACATCGAAAATAATCGATTAACGGAAAATAACCAATTAGAAGATTCTACGATAAATCGATTTTCCAAAAAAAAAAACTGAATAATTATTGATTATTTACAAATAATCCTTTTCTTTTTTTATATTCCTTTTAAAACTGATTATTTAATTTCCTTTGAAAAATCGAAAATAATTGATTAATAAAAAGCTGATTTACCGATAAATCAATAATTCTAAAAAATAACCGAAATATCGATTATATAATATAACCGATTATATTCGATCAATCGATTATTTTTATATAATCTATTTTTTGTATTTTAAAACAAATTATTTGAATACCTTTGAAAAATCGAAAATAATCGATTAATACAAAATAATCGATTAATCGAAAATAATCAATTAATCGAAAATAATCGATTAATTTAAAAAGTCTATTAAACAATAAATCGATTTTTCTAAACAATCAATTATTTTCAATAAATCGAATATTTTGAATAAATCTACTCTTTTTGTAATTCCTTTATAATCGATTATTCCATTACCTAAAAAAACGAAAAAAATTATTAAAAATGTTCGATTAATCAAAAATAATCTATTAAAGATAATCGATTAATTATAACGGATAAATCGATTTTCATGAAAACGATAAATCGATTATTTTTGTAACCCCTATCGGTCGCATGCTTTTATCAGAGCATTTAGCTCCAAAATTTAGAGATTCGGATTTATTGATCCTGTTATCTTTGAAACCGCATTCGATTGTATAATAAATATTGCTAGAATTTAGATTTTTTTAGTAAACGAAGATATTTTTCGAGTTGTTTAGGGGTTTATAATGTAACATTTTACTAATAATATGACTAATTTCCGTAACTTTAGTATTTTTTGCTTATACTAGATCTTATTGCGCGTTTTACTTTGTTTTAAGATTCAAATGTCACTTCTGATTTAACCGCAAAAAAATAAACCTTGAAATTTTAAGTAGGTGAACCTGTATTTCATCTAATATTCTTGTAAAAATATCTAATAAAGGGCTAAAAACCACTTTTAGTAAATATTCTTATAAAACTACTTTTTAAAAACAAAATTTCGTTAGTAACAATGCCTATTTACTTCTTATTTAGATTAAATATTTATTGAAACCCCTTAATGCGGATCTGAAGTATTCAGCTCAAAGAATCATGGCGACTTTATGTCAAAACGTCAACAAATATTTACCGCTGAAAACGAATATATTTCTTATTTTTCATAACATTGACACATATTATTTGTATATACAATTTTTCACCATACATCGTGGCATTTTCAACTTGAAATTGAATAACTAAAACACTTTAAATTGCTAATAACACCAACAAATAATTCAAAAACGGCGGTAATAAATGATTTACTCACGCGGAGACAAGCAAAGAATAGAAATTTCGGAGCAATTCGGGTGGCGTCGTGAACACAATGATTTTTAATTGGTGGGTTACTTAGGTTTGGAATAGACAACATGCGCAATGTGCAATGTTACATCTCCGGTCTCTTTTATCTAAGATCTAAATACAATGTTTTTACTAATCATTATTATCGATTTTGAATTCGTGCATTTCTATTGGATAATAACCGCGATAGTTAGTTTTATTTTATTTACAAACCTTATCCTAAATTGATTCTTAAGTAAATTCAACAGGAGCGGCCTTGATTTATTCTTTAATTATGAATGAATGCGGATTTTGTTTAGTCTCGGAAGTAATTTTGTAGTATATACCTACTAAACTACCGTTGCCCCGCAGGTCTTTCAGTTTGTATTGTAAATTTTCCTCATACACATATATAGCCTTCTAAATTCCAAACAGGGATCTCAAAATCATTTCTTGACGAAATAGTGACAGTTACTAAATTCTGTTTGTGTAAATAAAAATTCCAAGTTAGTTTAAAAAAATATTTATTTGTAATTTTAGCTTTATAAATAAATACATGTAATAAATGCTATTTGCGTATCGAAACATAGTTTCAGTAATAATAATTAACAATTTGTAAACAGAAGCCTGCAGTTGTATTTTGTTTATTTGTATAAAAATAGATGACAGATGATTAAAGTGACAGCTGGCATAGAGCAGATTAGCTGTCAAAAAATGACAGCTTGCAAAAAACGTTAACGTTCAACTCGGAGTTCAAAGTGTGGAAACCTACTTTGTATAGAGATCGTATAGCTTTAAGAATTAATTTTTACTCTCCTAATATTATGGTCTGTAAAATGCAAGGTAATAATAAAAAACTCTATTAACTTTTACTTTAGTAAATTACCTGATTGTTTTTATTTTTTTTTTTATTTTATTTTTCCTGATTAGCAAAGGAGACATGGTTTTACCTAATGTAGGTAAAAGGCTTTTAACATTATGGAATGGTTGTTTGATTGCAGTCTAATAATTATTAACCAAATCCTATTAAGTTACAATTAATAACAAATTATACATTAAACACACTATCATAAACACTTTTTGAGAATTAACATAACTTTTGTGGAACGCAATAATAATAATTGCATTTTCTCAAGTTGCGTAAATTTGGAAATCATCCAATTTAAAAATATACAATCTATAACTATATTTAGTTATAGAAGCAATTTTATTCTAATTCAAATATTGATTTTTTACGTTCTGATGACCGCCTTCTTCCGCTAGCCATACTCAATTTAGATATTGTTGATGATTTTCTATCTTCTTTTTTTCCATTTAACAACGATTCTTCCTCTTCTTTCCCCAATTTTTCATCCACGACAATTATTTCGGTGATTTTATCTGAATTACTACATAGTTGCATATTTTCAGCGTCTGTAATGCTTTTAAGGGTGTTGAAAACATTAGTTTCCATATTGATCATAACAAGACCAATTCCTCCATCGTTGTAGGTATTTAATGCATTTTCCAATGTCTAAAATATATTATTAGTTAAAAATTGTGAAATTATGTCTTAAAACAAATTTGGATTTCAAAGAACGCGGTTTACTGAATAGCTCAAAAAGTACTAAAACAATAACTACAGGGTGGGGCATAATGGAGGGGCGTTTTTAGATCAACAGGTAACCATTGTGGATAACAAACGGTAAGATTTCCTGAATCCAACGATGTCAACCGCGGCTCTCTACCCCCACCCGTTCGCGTTTACTAGCAGATCTAAAAACGCCCCTCCATTATGCCCCACCCTGTACAATGATATACAATGCTTCTCAAAAGTTCCCTCCCCTCTCTTTTTTTTTGCACGGTGATACTTAAACTGGAAGGTGAACATAATGAGCTATTGTAAGATGGCTTGATACACAAAATGTTTGAGAATGACTACCCCGTTTTCATTGTAAAAACAATCCAAACATACTTACATAACAGACAATTCAATATCAAAATCAACAACACAATTAACGGACCTTACACAGCAAGTGCTGGAGTACCCCAGGGCTCAGTGCTGGCGCCGCACCTGTATACCATAATGACCCATGACATGCCAATGGGTCAAAATGGAATACAGACGGCGCTGTACGCGGATGACACCTGTGTCTTCAAATCCTCACACTCAGCGGAAATAGCGCTCAGAAGACTGGACATACATGTAAACAGAACGTTAGTCCCCTACCTCGAGGATAACAAAATAAAAATAAACCCTGAAAAAACCGAAAGCCTAATATTAACCAAAAGACAATCCGATAACATAAAAAGTAAAATCACAATTCAAGGCAACAAAATAGAAACTAAAAATAGTATGAAATATCTAGGTTTTATACTGGATAGGGGTCTAACGTTCAAGAATCATATCACAGACAGGGCTAGTAAAACGATCGGAGCAATCAAAACTATCTACCCATTATTACATAGGGGTAGTGGGGTCTCAAAGAACAACAAGTTACTCCTATACAAGCAAGTGCTCAGACCCATACTTACTTACGGTAGTCCAGTCTTCTGTTCTATGGCCAATACTCATTTCGAACGTTTACAAAGAATTCAAAACAGGTGTCTTCGGCTAGCGCTGGGGTGCAATAGATACGAGCGAATCACGGACATACACGAACAAGCATCCGTGGAACCAATTAAAGAATTTATAACAAAAACATCAGAGAGATTCTATAAAAACTGTCTTCCTAGATCGCTAAAGGAAAGGAAGACATATTAACACAAAACGAAAATGACGGAGTCATAAGAATCCACGGGTGCTTGCATCAGAATCTAGACATAAACAAGAGAGACATAGACTGACAGATGCTACTAACTAGTCCACAGCAGCGAACATTTCACAAACTACAACGTGACGCACACATAGACAAGGACAACCCTGTTTTTTGCAATTGGTTTTTCAGGGAAGACACCCACAAAATTAAAATCAAACAAAAACTATAGACGTACTCAATTACCGATCAAGCCAGCAAACCTAGTAGTAGCATAATGCTTAATTAAGCAAGAAGGCGACTTAAACACACATAATATATAAAATTAATACATGCATCATTCGGCTATGACAACGGCCAAGGCCTAAACATTTTTTTTAGGTGGTGTAGGTTAGAACTTCCCGGCCACACGAGAAGTAACTACGCAATGATTTTGTAATTAATTAATGTATATATATTGTAAATATTTTAAAATTGAATAAATGATGAATGATGAAATTATTGTGGTTTGCGCTTCAAACTCAATATTGAATGGGGGCTTTACTGTGTAGTCTGTAGAATTGTCTTTCTCACGTACGTAAACTAAGATGAGACACACTCACATACAAGGACAACCCTGTTTTTTATAACAGTTTTTCAGGGATGACAGACAGAATTAAAATCATGACAAAAACTCCATCATAATCCACTATCGACTCTAGTCATTAAGCCATAACTGTCCTATAATGCATATAGTAAGGAGAGGACACAATAAAATCAAAATTTAAATTAGTAAATAGGGTGCAAACACGGCCAAGACATCGGTCATGATCTATAGAACACTTCCCCAGATCGGATAGGAAGAAATCTATGGTCCATATATGTATTATATTATTATATATTATGTATTTATTGTATCTTAAGTACTAAATTGAAATGTATATATGTATATAAATAAAGGACTTTTGAAATGAATGAAGTCGAATAGAACCAATAATATTAAATGGGACCTTATGGCAAGTGACACCTCATTTGAAAGGTATTTAGAATGTTCTGTCTTAAGGTAGTTAATGAATAAAACACGTTCTGTAATAATTCTAATATTTATTCTTTAATTACCGAATTCAAACTGGCTTGTCCAGCATACCCATGTACTTCGTCGATACAGTTTTGTCGAGAAGTCCATACAAAAACCCATACCAAGAAATATTGAACAGGGTTGGCGTCTGACCGCAAAGCCCGTATATAACCAACTATTTATATTAATTGTTCAAAATATGCTTCATCTACTTCCTGGCAGTAAAACATCCTATTATTGAACTCTTGTCGGCCTCGTGTGTCAGAGGAAATTGCCCTATATTCTTCAACAATTCGTTGTTTTAAAACGTTAATAAGGTCAGGTACTGTAGCGTAAACCTTAGATTTAAGGTAGCCCCACAAAAAAGTTGAAGGTGTTAGTTGCAGGGATCGAGCTGGCCATTCTATTGGACCGCGTCGTCCAATCCATTTACAAGGATATTCCTCATCTGGATAACGTCTTACTGCGCACCATCTTATTAGAACGTTACCAAAATCATCTAAATTATCCTCCAAAATTTGAAAAAATAACGGTTTAATTGCGTTTTCTAAGTTAGAATTCAAAACAATGGGTTTTGTACTATGTAGTTTCCCAAACATTTACTTTTGTTGGAAACTGGGTATGTTTTTCACAAAACATGTGAGGATTTATGTCACTCAATATCTCACATTCTGAGTATTAACATTTCCATTAAGGAAGAAGGTACTTTCGTCACTAACCCAAATTGTTTTTACTTAGTCTGACTGTTGGACAATTTTAATAAACATATGTTTACAGAATATCTGCCTTCGGCCGGGGTTGTCATCTAAAAGTTGATGCACCATTTTTAATATGTATGGCTCACGTTTGTTTTTGGTCAACACCCTATGTACTGTACTCTGACTGACTTCACAGGTAGACGCAACTTAAGCTGTGGAAGAAGTAGTATGACTGAATAGACATTCTAAATATCTTTCAATCGAGGTGTCACTTGCCATAAAGTCCCATTTAGTATTATTGGTTCCAGTCGCCTTATGACGTTATCGGTGACTATTACGTCACCTGTTACCAATAGTAGAGAAGCCTATATTATTCATTTTCACCCTCCTGACAGTATTGATGTTTTAAAACAACGAGTTGTTGAAGAATGTAGGGAAATTTCCCCTGACACATTTGAACGAGTCCAACAAGAATTTGGATGGAGCACATTTTGAACAATTATTATAAGTAGTTATTCTAAATATCTTTCAAACGAGGTGTCACCTATTGGTTCTATTCGCCTTGTGACTTCATTGATAACTATTATATCACCTGTTACCACTAGTGGAGAAGCTTACAATAGTTCAATATTTTCACTCTCCAAATTTCTAAGTATCACCGTTCAAAAGAAAAGAGGAGGAGGGGACTTTTGAGAAAGGCGACTTTATAGATTATCTTTTCATTTTTGACATATGTATCTGTATTAGCGTCATGACGTTATCGATAAATGTTTTAAACAGAAATATGGGTATTGCAATATATTATTTGACAGGTGTTTTAAATATCTATTGAGTCATATTAATAAGTCTAAGTTATTGATTTTGTTTATTGTAAAAAAATATGAAATACCAATAAATTTCTTAACACAAATTAATAATTTTTTTCTACGCCCATGTCAGTAAACGTTAAAAATCGCACTATCAATATTCCTTGTAAATGACATTTAACAATAACATGCACGTAATGAGATCTCATAACATACACGTGCCTTTTGTTAAGGAAACTTAAATTGTCTACTTACGACTTTATTTGGTATATTTACATAAATTTAGTCATTTAAAAAACAAAACTTTTAGCATTAGCGAGATACATTTTGGATTTAAAGAGTGATGCCCCTAAATGTCGGCAACATATTATACAATTTTTCAAAAAATATGTCGCGTTTTCTTAGTATACTATGGAAATGAACGTCATGCCATTTATATTGTAAATATGATTGTATCCGAACATTTTCTCAACTTTATCTACGAATATGTTTGTTAGCAGTGAAAGTGATGAAATTATGAGCACTCCATCGAAGCCTACTCCTCCCAATTTAAGTTACTCAGGAAACAAAAGTACAAAAGGTTCATATAAAAGGCGATTTTCAATGCAAGTGTATAATAAAAACAAGTGAATATGTGTTTTACTGAATTAGACAATTGTTTTAACAAATTAGAAGAATAATAATGTGATGAATCTATTACTTGGGCATCGTTGGGCAAAGCTTTTTTATTAAGAAATATTTTTAGCTCTCTTGGGTAAGACAGAAAAGGGTTATTGTTACTTATAAGATGGCGATATATACTGGAATGTTTCTGAGGTCATGTACGTGACTGTAGAAAATATATTTTGTTTCTATTGTGTTGAAGTGAGAGTTGTCGCTCAAGCGAAGGAAGATGTGTGTTTTATGAATATGTGGGCTTTGAATACAGGTTTTTTTCTTAAAACAGGCCCGGCCTGGGAATGCTAGGTTTAAAATGAGGACTGTATATTATGAAATTTAAACAATACTAATAAATTTAATTAGAATATATAAATTAATTGTATTTTCAAAAGAGTAAATAATTACAAATAGGTACTTATTTTACACATAATTTAGGTCAGCATAAAGCAGATTTATACGTTCAAAATGGTTTTCTGAATATTTTCCAAACAGGATTACCTAAGCGTATGTAAGTGATATGCAAACAGAAACCAGTATTTCAAGAAATTCAATCTTTTTACCTGAGTGCTGTACTGTAAAAATGTGGTTTAAAATCAAAATATATTCGAAAAATCTGACTCTAATAAGTTTCTATCTCGACTAAAAATAATACAGGATGGAGAACACCACCGCCACTATATACATATACTATAGTTTTATTAAACACATGGTATTTTAAATAAAAAATAATAATTCACGTTGTAAAACAAAAAATAAAAGGTAATTACCTTAGCTGCTGCATAATCAAGCCTAAGAATATTTATACAATCTAAAACGATGGGCAATGAAGGATTCTCATTGCTGCTTTTCTTGATACATTCTGAGACATAATCTGCACCTGGATAATATAATCCTAGTTCAGGCTTTATATACAAATATCTTTCTTCGGTATCAATTTTCTAAAAATAAATTAGAAAATTATAATAACATTGCTTCTTTTTTACCATTATAAGCAAATTCTCATACTTAAATAATAAAGAGTGATGTTAAAAATTGACCAATGAAACTATTTCACTATTATTAGTAAGTTGGCAAAACTATATGGTTGGCAAGATTGTTAGTAATGATATATCAAATGTCATGTCAATTATTAGAGGTTGCTGGTTGTATTAAGAAGTAAAAAGTTTATTGTTTAATAAACCTTCATTTAAGACAACTGGTTTCCATCATTTATTTAACACATCAAAACTATCGAAAATCCACAAAAATTGTTTCTAAGGTATGCCATGACCAATATGTCCGTGATAACTGTGCACGGTTCCGAATTAATTCCAAATTAACACTTAAAAAGAAGAAGAAACATAATTCTAACTCTGAAAAATGTGAATTTTTCCAAGGCTTACTTTAGATACATTTTTTGTGAATTCCTCCATATAAATCTATATAAAAAAAGAAAACGAATGTTTAGTCTTATATTATTGTAACATTTAATTTTTTTGACATTTTTAACAATAATTTTCATTACCTTTCTTATTTCGGTTTGGACTTTAGGTCTGGCCCATATCATAAGGAGGACTAGTAGGTTACAAATACTACCAATTAGAATGGCTGCTTCAACTCCCATTAAAGTTCCAATTACAAACGTTGCTAGCGTTAGGTAAAAGTCGACCTCTAAAAGATATTAAAAAGTTATTTTTACTAATTTTGACATATAAAGTGACATTTTTTGTAATCGCAGTAAGTATCAAAATGATCTATTTTACCCAACCAGTTGTATAATGTTGAAAATTATGAAAACTGGTTACGAAAAATGCATTATGTCACAAGTTGCGAAAAGAAAACAAATAAAAATAAACCTTGGTTTTAAAATCAATACATACAATAATATTGAAAGTTAAAAATAGAATTTGTTTAAACTTGCAACGTGTAATAATGTTGTTTCGGTCCCTATTTTCCATTCTAAATTAGCACAAAATAATTTAAATAGAATACACGACAAAATAACCCACTTTTTTTAATAACTAAAGAAATAAACACACTATACTCGAATAATTTTTAAATGATGGTTACTTATCAAAGGATTATGGTCGGCCGGCAACAATGTATTTCTAGAATTACCCATAATCCTCCTATGCAGCGGCGTAATAATGATTCGCGATAAAATGCTAATATTAAATAATCTTTAATTGACACGATTTCATTGATTTAGGTTAAATATTGTTTAATCAACTTTGTATGAAATATCTGAAAAGTTGACAAGAAATGGGAATTTTTTATTATTAATTTAACAAGAAAAAATATTTATGAAAAGTACTGTAATAATAAATCAATAATAAAGAATAAAATTTGTAAAATATTTAGAGGTATACAGGGAAAATAAAAAGTGCATTTAAATTTAAATACAGAACAAAATGTTATTTAAAATATTGATGGGAATTAAAAAAGTATGGCCTTCTAATAATGAATAAATTTAAAGTTAAAAAAATACTTAAATAATTTGGCAATTGTTAGATTATTTATAAGATTAATAAAAAAGTAAATTAAAAATATCCTTACACGCATCATAAATAAATAAAATAAAAAATATTGTTTTATGCTGAAGAGTCCTCAGAACTGGAATCCTCTGAGACATTGAATTCTATCAACACCTTTTCAATTACATTGTCCACCATCCCGTCCAATCTCCACCTTGTTTTCTTCCTTGATGACGTGGATTACGGAATTTGTCCAATCTTCTTTCCGTATTCGTGCCATTCTGATTTCCAGCAAACGTTGGATGTATCTACAACATGATGACGATATCTGTCTCGATGCTGTTTAATTATGGTTATAAGCTCCCCTTTAACCATGTCCTCAGAAAAGGGAATTACCTTTTGTCGCAAGCAACCTTGCATCGCCGCTTTTTTAGTGGCCATAGTAGGTAGACGTTCTACTAAGCGGCTATGATAAGAAGCGTTATCAAGCACTATCACTGAATTTGGCTTGATCCGTGAAAGTAGGGTTTCAAACCAACCTTCAAAGCTTTGAGCGTCCATGTCTTCGTGATAATCCCCCGTTTTTTAGGTAAGAAAACTAAGGCACTGTCGTTTCAAAAACCACTTTCACTTCTTATATGGGCGACAATTAATCATTGTCCTTTTCCAGTTGTTCCTCGTAATCCTGTTAATAGACCTTCCACAAATACTTGTCAATAAATTGTTACCGTAGTATCTTGCCAGATCTTAGATACTGTGTGACCAGCATTCACCCATGTTTCATACAGATAATATATTGTCTTGTTTAATGAACGATGTTCCCTTATAGAGCGAAGATATTGTTACCTCGAATTTTTTAGAATGATATGATAATTTTGTGTGATGTTTTGTTTACAATTTTTAGTCAAAAATATAATTTCGCTTTCTAGCTAAAATTTCTGAAGTGTAAAATACTGTATTTATATCTACATATACAGGGTGTCCCGTAAATATACGTGCAATCTTTCAGGGGCGATAGGGGACCTTAAAATAAACAATTTTTAATATAAAAATGTATGTACGATATAACTCTTCTTTTCTAAGATACCTACCTGTTTTAAATAAAAATCGAGTTTTATTTAATGTCTCAAAAACATTTTAATCTATTTTAATGAAATTTTTAAAGTCTGTTGATATCTTAATAAGGTATGTTTTTGATAAAATATAAAATACAACTTTTTGTCTATTTTTTTTTTTTTGTATACCGCCTTTTGTTTTGAGTTGTCTTTTTAGTGTAAAAGTTTATATATTATTTGTTTTCTTGAAAACGAAAAGAGATTCGCAAATATACAGGGTGTCGGTAAAAGGTCTTTACAAAAACATACCACATATTCCTTAGACCAAAATAAGTTGATTTAAGTAAAATTACCTTAGTACAAAGTTGCTTCGTTTGGGCTCCAGAGGGCCTTGAAGTTACAATTGTTAAATCGTTTTTCCCATATAAATTTAAAACGGCATATGCGATTTTGCTGAAATTCGGTAAATTGGTAGAGTTTTATGTGGCAAAAAAAATGGTATTAAAATTTTGTCCGATAATAATACATAGGCGTAGAACTTGATTTTTTAAATAATTGCACCTTTAAAAATTCTACGCCAATGGAAAAAAAGGAGTTTGAGTATGAAATTTAGATTGCGCAACTCATTTACTTTAAAAAAGGTACTCTAAATAAGACTCGATTACTCTCATGGTTTTCGCTAAATTTCTGTTTTAATAATTTAGAGTGTATAGGTTTCACAAAAATATTTATTTACAACATAATCAAAATAGAGATTTTACGAAAATTGTTCAAAATGTTCACCATTTTCACGCATACAAAGATTTATACGTCGAAGAAAATTAAAATGTATCCTTTCCATATTTTCTTCATCACCTCTAAGATTGTTTATTGCATCTTGAATACGTTGTCAGAGTTGTTCCTCATTTTCTACAGGTTCCCTGTAAACTGTGGATTTCAGATGTCCTCATAAAAAGTAATCCATCGGTGTTAAGTCTGGGGAACGTGGTGGCCAGTTTACAGGTGCGTCATTACCTCTGCCTATCCATTTGTGTGGATATTGTTCATTCAAGTGGTTTCTAACGTTTAAAGAAAAATGTGGTGGAGCTCCATCTTGCATAAACCACATATCTCTCCGAAGTTGGAGAAGTAAATCTTCTAACAATTCTGGCAACGTATTTTGTAGAAAATCCAAATAATTTTCTCCAGTTAATTTTCGTGGAAGTATGACAGGACAAACAATGAAATTACCAATTATTCCAGCCCACACATTAATTTTGAATTCGTGCTGAAAATAGTTTACCTTTATTGCATGCGGATTTTCAACGACATAAACATGTTCATTATGGGTATTAGTTATACCTCTTCTTGTAAAACCCGTTTCATCGGTAAAGATAACCTTCTTGACAAAGTTTGGATCTCTTTATCTTTGCATATTAACAAATCGACAAAAACCCAAACGAATTTGAGGATCATGGACTAATAATTCTTGTACTGGCTTCTTATGGTATTGATATAGCAATTGTTCTCTAAGCACTTTATGAACGACATCTTCACTTACTCCTAGTTCCCTTCCAATTCGTCTGGTGCTTAATTCTGGATCTTCTTCAACACGTTCTAAAATGTCTTCTTCAACTTCAGGAATCCTTACAAAACGTTCTCTTTCATTATCAACAGTGTTGGGAGCAAAGGAACCGGTCTCCCGAAGACGTCTCTCAACAGCAGCAAAAGTTGGGTGGCTAGGTACACGACGATTTGGAAACCTTTCAGAGTACACCCTGACACTCTCTCGAGCATTTCCTTCACAAAATCCTAATGTCAGTAACATATCGGTATATTCTGCATTGGTATATTGTACAGCCATATTAATTTTTAATTATTGAGTCAGATAGAACACTTTCAATCGTTAACAAGAGATTAGGTGTTAAAACTTGACAATATTTTTATTTAGATGAAACTATGGAAACCAACAATAAATGTTTTTGTATACGTATTGCAGGCAAATAATTAATATTCCTCAAAAAATCGTACATGACAAGAATCGAGTATTTTTGTTAAAAGTCTCGATTAGAGGTGTTGAAGAAGATATGAAAAAAGTACATTTTTATGTTTTTCATCGTATAAAATTTTGTCCGATAATAATACATAGGCGTAGAACTTGATTTTTTAAATAATTGCACCTTTAAAAATTCTACGCCAATGGTAAAAAAGGGGGTTGAGTATGAAATTTGGATTGGGTACCCATTTACTACAAAAAAGTACCCTTGATAACATTCGATTTACTCTCATGGTTTTGACAAAGTTTGTATTTGAATAATTTATTGTTTATGTTCTAAAATTACTAAAATGCAAATTTCGTCAAAACCATGAGAGTAATTAAGTCTTATCAAGAGTATCTTTTTTAAAGTAAATGAGTTGCGCAATCTAAATTTCATACTCAAACTCCTTTTCTTCCATTGGCGTAGAATTTTTAAAGGTGCAATTATTTAAAAAATCAAGTTCTACGCCTATGTATTATTATCGGAAAAAATTTTAATACCATTTTTTTGCCACATAAAACTCTACCAATATACCAAATTTCAGCAAAATCGCATATGCCGTTTTAAATTTATATGGGAAACACGATTTAAAAATTGTAACTTCAAGGCCCTCTGGAGCCCAAACGAAGCAACTTTGTACTAAGGTAATTTTACTTAAATCGACTTATTTTGGTCTAAGGAATATGTGGTATGTTTTTGTAAAGACCTTTTACAGACACCCTGTATAAGAAGACAATAAAGTTGTATTTTTAGTTGTTTTATTCAATATTAGTTAAACCATTGTAAATATTTACCGAGCGCTATAAATTTTGGTTAAAATTACCTGTATTTCGGAAATTAAGTGTTTTCGGGCATAATATGTTTATTAAACAAACAAGATTTTTTTTGGTGCCCCTACCACCCTTAAAAGTTTGGCGGTATATACGTATAATCGTGATCATACTGTCCTGTTGGCTTCGCCAGTGCCAATTAATTTTGAAAAATATGAAGATATGAACGTAATCATATACATCCTAATACATATTAATAAAAAAAAAAGATAAATTATATCCATTTAAAGAATATATATACCTACCGGGTATTCACGTGAAAACTTCACAGGAAATGTCAAATTAACAAAAAATAATAAAAATATTCTGGAAATATAATAAACACACTTAAATCAAAGTTTCGAACACAAATAAAATGTGCACTTAACTAAAATAAATAAAACAAATAGCTCATATATACACTTATTTATTTCAACCATTAATTGAAAATTAGGGAAAATATGCCTGTTTATGCGGGGTCAGTGCCACACGATAAATATTTAACCCATCAACTACCTGCGACCCTAATTAGCCAGGAAAGGATTAACTAAAATTCAAATTTATATCATAATATCAAAAAACCGAAAGTGTTGTGACATCGTTAATTAGACTGGTCTACACATCCGTTATTTACTTACCTTAAAGGTCTATGCCCACTATACCGTACCATACTATGACCGTGCCCGGACCTGATTTTTTTTTTGTATAGATTCAAATGAGGATGGTGTGGTCGATGCCGGGCCGGTCTAGTGGGCCTTGTCTCATTTAAATCTATACAAAGAATATTTTTCTGCCTATGCCGGTACGGTCACGGTCATAGTATGATCCGGTGTAGTGGGCCTAGACCTTAATAATCATTTATTTTTAAGTTAATAAATATATCATAATGTCTATCTCAGTCAACCGGGTAATATTAACACAAAAAAGTTATACAACACGTTAGTTTAACATAAAAACTACTGCAACTAACCATATATCTGTCTCACGCTACAACACTGATTTATTTAGTTGAATTAATGCCTAACTGGTTTATCAGCCTTCCCAGTAGACCTTCTTAGTATTGACGAATTTATCGCTGATTCAAAGTATTTACCTAACTTTTCTAGATATAAAATTTGTACGAGGAGTAAATATTATGGAATAATGTCACTTTTTAAATTTAAATTTCCGTGTTGATGAAGCATAAACAATAAAATGATCCCGGTAAGTTGAGCTCTTAAAATCATAATAGAATTACATTGTTGCCGGTTGATCACAGTGCAATCCGCAAAATGAGTCACTATCATTAACAAATTGTTCGAGTATATTTTTTATTTGTCAATAAAATGATGCATACGTAACTAAAAATACAAGAAAGTAATATTGGTTGCCTAGATGTCAGTAATGTTTACCAAAACAAAATTTTATAAATTATCAAGTCAAAATTAAAAAAAAATATTGTATGTAATACATTACGAAATGCCGTTTTATGTAACTCGTTCAGGTTGCGGGACCTCGCTCTGCTCGTCCCGCAAATATTCACCCATTACATAAATAAGACATTTCGTAACTGCTTGCATAAATAACTAAACTAAACTAATAGTTACTTTACCAAGGCGATAAAGTTGATTTTTTTCGGCATAATCAGAAATTTTCGGTAGAGGGGCAACAGAAGCCAAAAAAATTTCGGATACTTCAGAAAAAAAGCATTTAACAGAAGTACAGTTATACTAAACAATAAGTCAACTATAAAGGAATACCACAAATGCCGAAAAAAGTTCGGCCTCTGTTTAAAGAACTCGAAAAAAATTGTTTGTCAAAAGTCAGCTAAATTAGCTACACTAGCTAAACAATATTAGCAAATCGACTTCCTTGATAGACCGCTCATAGACGCAGATATATTTTTTTATACATATAAGTAAACAATCGGTTTTAAACTCCGAAAACTTATCGGTTAGAGATTTCAAAACTAGGATATTATATTCCTTGGAAATCACCAAATAAATCCCAAATTTACGGCCACGAAATAATGAAAATTATTTTTGGATCCCCAAAGTTAAAACAAATTGAATGAAAAATTTAAAAAACTTATTTGAACGGTATTGAGACATATTATTTTTTAAGCTTTTTCAAACGGAAGCCGATTTTTTTTTTCAATTTCCGATATCTCTTCATAGTTGAGTTATTATTTTTCTTATTTTCATCTGTGAATTTTTATCAAATTTATAAATAGTATAGTAATTTATCTTTAAAAACTTACTGTTGCATCTCCATAAAACGGGAAAGATTTTGTAATCGAACAACGATGATACAGCTGTTATTAGAACGGCAGCCAAAGCTGCTTTTGGAATAAAATAGAAATACGGCGCCAAAAAACTGAGTGCCAAGACTATTACAGTACCTAAAAATAGATATTCGATGTAGTACCGTTTTGTAATAAATAATATTCCTGTTAAAGAAAGCTTCAACATATATTTGAATTAAAACATATATGGCTTCGAATGATCTGCGTCACTTTTCGTCACAAACTATAAATTGTTAATAGACTCTATCACGTGAACACTAGCTCGCAGATGGTTGGTTGATCCTACCAGCGCGAAAGGCCACGTTGCAGAGCGTGGCGTCATCCAACAGAATCATTTCTCATCGCATCGATAAATACCGTTAACAATGGCTCCGCCATGTTGAACATTATTATCTCTATCAATAACTAGAGGCTGTAATTAATTTTCTTAGTTAATTTTATTAGAATGACCATCAAAAAAGTAGTAAGTCTAACGTCTATTGTATCTTTTCTATTGTCTGTCTATGTCGTCTATCGTATATCGTATATCGTATATCGTATATCGTATATCGTATATCGTATATCGTATATCGTATATCGTATATCGTATATCGTATATCGTATATCGTATATCGTATATCGTATATCGTATATCGTATATCGTATATCGTATATCGTATATCGTATATCGTATATCGTATATCGTATATCGTATATCGTATATCGTATATCGTATATCGTATATCGTATATCGTATATCGTATATCGTATATCGTATATCGTATATCGTATATCGTATATCGTATATCGTATATCGTATATCGTATATCGTATATCGTATATCGTATATCGTATATCGTATATCGTATATCGTATATCGTATATCGTATATCGTATATCGTATATCGTATATCGTATATCGTATATCGTATATCGTATATCGTATATCGTATATCGTATATCGTATATCGTATATCGTATATCGTATATCGTATATCGTATATCGTATATCGTATATCGTATATCGTATATCGTATATCGTATATCGTATATCGTATATCGTATATCGTATATCGTATATCGTATATCGTATATCGTATATCGTATATCGTATATCGTATATCGTATATCGTATATCGTATATCGTATATCGTATATCGTATATCGTATATCGTATATCGTATATCGTATATCGTATATCGTATATCGTATATCGTATATCGTATATCGTATATCGTATATCGTATATCGTATATCGTATATCGTATATCGTATATCGTATATCGTATATCGTATATCGTATATCGTATATCGTATATCGTATATCGTATATCGTATATCGTATATCTTATATCGTATATCGTATATCGTATATCGTATATCGTATATCGTATATCGTATATCGTATATCGTATATCTTATATCTTATATCGTATATCGTATATCGTCTATTTTCTGTTATTATATTTTAATAAAATTGTTGTTGCGTTCTTTTTTAACCTAACACCTGTACAATATTAGAATTACCTGAGTAAAGACCTTGAAGTGGTGTTCGCACATCACTGCTACTTGCTACTGCTGACCTGGTAAAAGCACCAGAACTTGGCATGGCTCTGACGAATGACCCAAAAATATTACACAATCCTAATGATATCATTTCTTGGGAGTTGTCTACAATTACATCAGAACCTATAACAAAAATTCGTTTTTAATCCTTTTACATTATAGGATGGTAGTACTAGGTGATAAGAAATTTACATTTTTGGCTCTAATTTATTTTTTTAACACGCATTTTCTTTTTATTTAATTCAATGGTATAATCTTTCCGCTTACAATTATTAGCAAAAAAGAAATTAACCACAGAAAGAACAAAAAAAACTTTATTTTTAAAGTTTTAATTCCTTCCATTTTCCGAGAAAAAAATAAAAGGGCTTTAAATTTTGAAATATCATAATGAAAATAAACGCATTCCTCAATAGCACTATTTTTAATATAATCTCGACAAAATTAGTGGCTAAAACGTCTCGTTAAGTGCTGCCTTCTGTTGTAACGCGGCTGTAACTATCGTATCGCACATTCTCAGTCATCATTCGTTTCTTGCAACGATTTACACCAGTTTACACTAGAAGATAGCACTTAACGAATTATAAAAAATCATTAACAAGACATTAAGAGCTTAAATTTATGGATTATATTAAGAATAGTGCTGTTGAGGAATTCATTTATTTTCATTATGATATTTCAAAATTTAAAACCCTTTGATTATTTTTTTCTCGGAAACTGGAGGGAATTTAAACTTTAAAATATAGGCATATTTTAGATATTGCCTAATTTATTTTGCCAAAATTTTAATTTTTTGAAAAATTTACTTTTTGAGTTATCCTTGTCTGAAAATTATAAGGGGTGCTGTAATCACCTTAACTTAGAACATCGCCCCCTTCCATATAAAGAATCACCCAAATGTTCTAGTTGTGCCCAAAATAATCAGCTCACCACATAAGCTTTTGAGTTATGGTGATTACAGACACAATGACCGACATCATAAGTGAATGCGCACCAAACAACATCCGGTTGCATTCATTTTTTCGATGTAAAATAAAATATCTTGTGTTTTTATCACCTTTACTTTCCTTTTTCTGGTTGCAGAAAAGAAAAAAAGGACATTTGAGTGAGGCAACGTATTTTTTAATGTCACTTCTTTTTGTTTCCGATATTGGCTGCAAAACGCCCACACTTCTGTCGCGACAAAATCAAAATTACCATGTGCTATGAATTGATAATAACGAAGATTTCTCGATATTTGCGATAATAAAAATGTTCGTGCTTCTAATTTCTGGTTTATTTATATGACTGTAAACAAAATATTGTATTCAGTTTATCTTCTTTCACTCGTGGTAATATATACCACTTTATACGCTTATTACACAAAAACTATTTACTTTCTTTTTAAATTATTAAAAATTGTTAGATTTAGTTGTACTTACTGTAACACTTCGCTATAGCTACATTGGTCAGCACTGCAACAAGAGGAATCACAACAAGTCCACTACCCAGTGATCCCATCATTTCTGCATAACCAACGGTTTCGTTACCAAATTGAGCTGATAAAGATGGGAACTTGAATTGTGGTATTCCTTTGGGTACGTCTCCAGTTATTTTGAACGGTGTAGTACCATCACTAGTCCATAGAGCTGCTGCTACTGACGCAAGCAATACAACCAACGCATTTTTCGATATGGATACTAACCAGATAATCTTCTTAAGAGTAGGATTCGTTAGTTTTAGTCTGTTTAAATTCTAAAAAGTAATAATATAAATTATCATGACGAAAGAATGTTATTACTATTAATGCAATATTGGAAATAGGTACTTACCTTTAGAGCAACAAGAAGTCCTATACAAATTAAACCCAATAGTGTATCAGCTAATTTGATTTGATCATATTTTTGGATAAGCTCTTTGATGATTCCTATCACTGCATGACTTTTAATATTTAGACCAAAAAGATTTTTTAATTGTGCAGATATTATTATTAAAGTACTGGCAGATGTGAATCCTGACGTTAGGCATGGGGACATAAAATCAACCAAAAATCCTGCAAAATAAAATAAATGAAAAAAATAGAAAAAAGTTCATTTCATTTTTCCCCATCCGAGAATCGAACTCCAGTCGTACGTGTGGAAGGCAAGGATGCTAACCACAGGACCACTTAATCTTTTATTTTTGATGCGTTAATACTCGAAATTAAATTGACTTCATATAGTTTTATTTAAATTAACAAATTATTTATAATTATAGACGAAATAAAAACAAAAATCCTATTATTTATCGATTCTACACAAGAATAACCTATTTTAATGTATGTTTAATCTCAATAGCGAAAAAATTTACTGACAATTAGTTTGGCAGAATTGTCACTAATTTAAAATTTTAAAAATAATAGCAGTCGGTTAATCAAAATATGAACGGTGATTGGTGGGTTTAATTTTTTTGCAGTGTTCTCACTACCTAGAATGGATATCAAATATATTCGTTTAGTTAAAGGCAATAGCATACTTTTTCGTTTTGTAATCTGTGCGTAGATAAGCTAATATCTATGTGGGTGTAGAAAAAAATATATTTAAATCTTACCTAATTTAAGCAGACCCATCAGGAGTTCTACACATCCTGCAATGAGAGTAAGAAGAATGACGCACTCCAAAGGTTTCCCTACTGTATATGAAAATGTTAATAGAGACATAAGACTTGTGGGCCCAATAGAAACCTGTAAATTTAAAAGAAACGATTGAAAAACAATACACAAATTAGCTAAAAAAAAAAATATGTCTTACTTCTTTAATTGAGCCAACAAAAATATATGTGTAAGATCCTATGAAAGCTGTGTATAATCCATATTGTGGTTCAAGACCCGCTAATCCCGCGTATGCTATAGATTGCGGCATCATCGTTAAACCTAGTGTCAAGCCCGCTATTAAATCTGCCAAAATATCGCTTTTCGTGTATTTTGGAAGCCATTGTAGGATAACTAATCGTTGAAATAATTGGGCTTTCACTTTGGCTATTAGGGTTGTCTGTGGATCAGTTTTCCTACCCACTGAAATAAAAATAACGACTCGGATTAAAATTAATTGTAAAGGACCTCATAAAAAGTTAGTAAGAGAATATAAAATATCCCTTTTGGGTAGTAATCCCACTGTATGCTCCACCAGTGGAACGCTACACAATATTTTATTGTAGGATTCCATTGTGCGGGTTGATAATTCTAGGCAAAAACTCAGGACTTTTAGAAGCAAAAGTAAATACTACAGAATTGCTTAAAAAATAATATATAACGCCTGAAATTTTATAAAAAGTAAATCTATATAGTTAGGTACCTATGGTACGTCTATATTAAAACAAAAACTTCAAATTCAAGAAGATCATTCTCTTTAACAGGCTTGATTTACCTGGAAATCAAACCAGTTCAAGCACAAATCAATAAGAAAAAAAGTTGCGAGAAATCACAGATGATGCTCTCGAGTAAACAGCATATTATCTTGCTAAAAAACATTGTTGTTTTTTATAAAATCTGCATACCTAACTTGGAAATCCATAATCAAGCATCAAATTTGTAAAATTCAACAAAATTTCAATACGATAACATTAGTTTTATTTAAAACAACAAAGTAAGTCAAAAATTATTTAAAAATAAGTGCAACGATTTAAACTTGACCATATTTTTTATTTCTATATACATATCATATTCTTTAGTAATAGTTAAACAAGTGGGTAAATCTCTTTTTTATTCAATATCTAAGTATGTTGAGGAAAAGTAAAAATTTTTTATATAAAAATATAATTTATCCTCTTCTTTTAAATTATATTTATGTTATGACCTGCGTCCAGTCCCGACGAAAGGGGGTGGGGGGCAAAATCACCTGGGCCCGGGCACTAATGGGGCCTGGAAGCTTTAGCCTGATGACTCTTTTTTTTTTATTTCACCAAGAAAAGACTTGATTTTGCTGAGGAACTTTTATTTAGAAATTTCACACAGAAAGAGGTTCATTTTTTATAAAAATGCCCCGCTATTCTGCCAACCCTAGTTATAATATATAAGGGGCTCTTGCCAGTGTTTTATCCCATGGCTCTCGGCGGCCCTGCCTGCGTCTACAGGTAAGAAATCAGGGAACTCAGCTATCCTCTAGTTATTTGTTGTAATCGTCCATTATTATTCACCGATTTAGCTTTGGTATCGTACACTTGCCATCGTGATAAAAATATGGTGAACTTTTGAAACATACCTCATATAAATATACCTTTTAATTACTTTTGTACCTACCTCTACTTTTGTGATAATAGTACTTGATTTCAAGATATTAATAATAAATTTATATAATCTTTTATTTTGTTTTATTTGAAATTTCCATTTCTCATTGATATTTTACAATAACCTCAATTTCAGCCTTTCAGTATTACGATACATAATCACCAGTGTGTGTCCACGGATGGACTTAATTATATTAAAATTAAAAAAAGTCAGTATTCATAATTTTTCAACGTGAATCGTATTTATTTAGCAAGCAAAAGAAATTATGATGAATTACTTTTTTTATTTAAAATAAATATTTTACAAATATAGTTGAGTTCATATAATGCTGTAGAACTAATTCACATTATAACATCTATAAAACATTTCAAAACAACTTTCGGGGGAAAGTAATGTAAAACTGCTAGTGTGATGTTCTCCGAACCTCACTTTGTAAATTCTTGTGAACATTCGGGTGGTTGCATAGGTCGCAAAAGTACTTTACATGCGAGCTTAAAGAGCCCGGAATTGCAGTTTATTAACGTAGATAGAATGTGTATGTATGTGCTAGCTGGGATATAACATTAATTTAATTAATATTAATTTCCGTCAAAAGAGCTCATTTAAAAAAAATGCTTTCCAATTTATCCACATTTTGTTTAAACAACCTGTACATAAGTCATTAAAGGCTAAAGACTTTTGCCCTCATTTCTTCGCATTTTAAAAAGGAAGTTCACAATTTGTAACATTGTAAGAATAATGTACCTAGCAATGGTTCACTTCACTAATAATTGTTTAAATCACCAATGGCGTAGTGCAATTTTTTAAAGAGAAATTCTTTGTAGGTAATTTCAAAAAATCTACATATTCTATTGACTACAATTAGTCAACTAGAATGAAGAATGCTTGGCATTCTATATTATACTCTTCACAGTTTGTTTAATAAAATCCCTATGCTTCAGCGCATTGTTCATTAAATAACTTAAAATATAACTTTTTTTTTAAACTATTTAGAGTTAAATTTTTCATGTCCGTGGGCAAATTATTATAACTAGTTACTAAACTAAACCGGAAAGACCTTTGAAATAAAGTAGTACGATGTTGAGGAATTAAGAGATTTTTCTGCCTCATATTAATATTGTTGACATCAGATCTATACCTAATAGATGTGGTGGAGATTCTTTAAAATTAACTTTATGTAGAAGTGTTAATGAATGTAATTTTCTCCTGTTTAGCCATCATAGATATATAACCAAGACAGATAGGATTATTTACAAAATTTTTGAAGAATGAACGTTGGTGTCCGCGGTAGAAACCCAATAATCTGATTGAACGTTGATGCCAAGTTTACGTGCTTTTAACTATAGATATATATATAACCAAGACAGATTACACAATTTCTGAAGTCAACCCGGATGATCCTCGACGGAAATACAATATTTGGATAAAATTAAAATATTGATGCCAAGTTTGCGATGTTTTTAACTGTAGTAATGTAATTACGTTTGCTTATAATACTGTTAGGTCTTTAAATTGTCAAAAAAAAATAACGTCTGACAACAGCGGAACTATTGTAGACCATAATTGTATTAGGGTCGTATTTTGTTTCATTCATAAAATTCCTTCGTACAGTACTAGTCCAGGAGCTAGTGAATTTTTTAAGTACTTGTTTTCCCGGTCCGTGTATATTTAAATAATCTTTTCCCAGTGAACTGTGTATTTAAAATGGAACGCCAATCTATTAACAAAAGTTAGCCAGATTGAATTCGCGCATTACGTCACATCGATACAAGTGAGATTGTGTACAAAGTGCCTTTGCAGGTCTATTTTGCCCATTTCATGTATTTGTTTTTAAATCATGTTAAATTACTATTTTTGAAACTCAACAAGAAGAAAATCCAATTAACTCTTCCGTTGTGTATATATAAGATAAATTAACTGTAGTTTTATTAGTAAAGTATTAACACTAAAATGTTCCATAAAAATGACCCCATCTCAAGCAACTTATTTGAGAAATACGTTTTTTACATTTTTAATGTAATTTACAGAAATTAGCTAGGTATGTATTTGTTTTTAAATAATTTGACAATTTATGAAAAAAGGGAGTAAAAGTAGAATGACCAGTGGCCAGTAGGTCAGTCAGTACAATGTATCATATATTTCTATTATAACATAACTAAAATATCTACATCTTTTAATCATAAGGGCACAAGTTAAAAACCATTTTAATATGTGCATTAGAATGAAGTAATAATAACTTAAAGAGACGGGGTCTTAAAGTAATAGCTGGTACAGCATGTTTTTTAAACCTTTCCTAGTTCCTGCTAGAATGTAATCACTTTCTATGAAATGTGCTCTAAAAACGGCATATATAGCAGTCAGTGTTTCAGTCTTAGGTGTTCTTCCTAAAGCCCTCATCCAAGCTGCATACCTATTGAAAAATAATTTAAAAAAACATATTATGTAACTATATAGTTTTCGGTTCTGGGTGCCCCAAAAGAGGACACTTAGCCGATAATTTGGCTCATATAGCTAAAACTCAACAGTCACACTTCGAACCAGGACGTATTGCTATCCTTTTAAGTAAAAAATAACTAAAAATAACTAACCTGAAAAATGAAAGCGTCTAACTTTACACCAAAAAAACCATACACTTTTTCCCATTGTTGCAAGCACCCGATGACGATTAGGTAAATATCAACTAGAAGCATGTACTTAATGGTTATGAAGCTTATTTTAACACAAAAAGAACAAAGCACTATTCGAAAAGCAGCAATCAAATATAAATAGACCACAATATTAAAATTCAAATTAAAAACTATAACTATAAAAGACAAATATTCTAAAAGCGCAAAAGATCAGAACCAAATAAAATGAATAACCATATTAACCTAAAAATCACACTAAAATTGAAAAAAATATTACTGTAAAATCATGAGATTACATCAATAATGCATATGCGTCTGAGTATCGCAAATGTCAAAAGTACAGCGTTTCCATGAAAATTTATCTGTTTTTAGCAGTATTATAGGACCATTTCTACCACGCGTATCCAACGATATTGGCGTTCCACAGTTCACTGTATTTTCCTCACACCTCTAGTATAAATGATTTGACATAACGAAACTAACAATAATTATACCTAATGTAGAGTAATAAGTGTTTCGTGAATTCTAAATAAAACATTTATTATATAAAAGTGTAAAAGGAAATGTAATTTATTTCCCTATTTTCTTCTGTAATATCTTTAATTATTATGTTTAATTTCTTTAAATAAACCAACTGGTTAGATGAAACATTGTGATATATAATTTTATTTATGTGTCTTATGCGTACACTTTAATATACAAAACACCTGGAACATTCTTTAAATAATTGTTGTCGTAGAAATAATTGTGTACATAACTCGTTTGAAAGTGTATTTTATGCACTTGCCAAATATATTATCCATACTCACAGATTAATCAGACTATTTTTTTACTTAACTTCAGTACATCTCTTACTACTAAAACTATTTTTATCAATGGAAAAAAAAGGCCGTGTTCTCGTATGTTTTGACGCATTTTCGGCCTCAGCCCATCGGATCCCCCCTCTAAATATATATATGAATTTTGCTTAGAATTGCTAACCCTACAATTCTCTATTCGTGCTTGCTGACTGGGAAAATAAATACCGAAAATCGTCGCTGTCTCCTGGACTATAGAGTAGATGATACACTTTTATGAATGGCTAGTTGGGGATGTGTTAGCCATAGATAACCAATTATTGCGCAGTAGAGTATGACTGATTCTATCATATTTTCTAATCCC